TAGACATTTCAAATATTTTAAACTAATTACATTACTGAAACAACGTGCTAAAGGTTACAAGCCCAAGAAACTTTCTTTCAACTTGAAAATGCCAACTCATATAGAGGTCATTCATTTCGAAGATCGTCTGCTACACTTTCAGTTGAATCTGGGGGAGACTTGATGACACTAAAGAAAACATGCCGGTTGCAAGTGATCAACGGTAGCACACAGGACAGAAAAGCTATTAAAGTGTTTTAGAATGTGTGGTAGTGCTGAAATAACACTGGATTTGCGAAGTACATGAACGGGAGTTGTGATGGTAGAAAATCATATTAATTTCATCACAAGAAAATTCGACTGTTGTACCGAATAGTTTAAGGAACGTGTCATTCATGCAATGAACGTTTAATAATTTGTACTTTTGATATAAAGGAAATGTAACTTATTGTATAATAAAATATTCTAAAATAAGTATCTACTTTGCTTATGTGTTTATATAATATCCGGAAAAAAGTAATCATTTCTTTCCGGGGAAAAAGTAATTTTACAAAAGTGACATTTTGTTACCTGTCAACAGAGATAAAATGTCAAACTTTTTTTCCCGTCACAGAAAAAACGTTTTTTCTTGAACCTATGCGAGGTGGCCTGTTGTTATAGACAAAAAATGAAGTAATAAAAAGGATCATTTAATTAAAAAAAATCAGATTCGTTGGGAGAACTGCGAAAAATTCTGATATAATTTATTGTAGGGATGGTGGTAGTTTTCGCCCTTCTCCAACCCTTTCGGGTTCTTATAAAAGTCAAATATTAGGTTGTCTAGCAAAACACATGCTTCAAAATTTCTTTCAAATCGGACTATCGGTTCAAAAATATCTGAAAAAAAATGTGTTTTAAAAGAAAACGCTCTCTAACGGACAAACGAAGTACTTTTGCACCATGTCTTCGACTTATTTTGAGTGGCAGATTTATGTCCACCCTGTATGTGTGCCAAGTACCTGGTGTGTTGGTGACTGCCCCGTAGGCGGTGCAGGCACTGGTGGCACCGCTTGGTGATGAGCCGTGGGCTGAGAATTTGGTGGCGAGCTGGTGGTCAACGTCCAGCAGTTGACCAGGTGGTGGGGGTTTGAGATGGCACGGATCCGTTCCAGCCGGAGTAGGCTGTGCTGCTGTACAACGTTGCTGTTGGTTGTTGCTGTCCGGAACTGGCTTGGTGGTGCAGGATGTGCTCGGGAGGAGTTACACTGTAAATATTGAGAATAAATGTCGCTAATTAAATTAGAAATCAGTAAAAATAATATACTCTTCTTCAGTTTCCGACAGCGTGCTTTCTGACATGTAACCTTCCCTAGACGCATACGCTACTAGCTAAAAAAATTGGTCGGCAATGTGAGCTTTAGATGGACGAGCTGAAAAACATTCAATGACAGCCCCAAGAGAATTATTGTACAACGTCGATTCATTTTTAATACGAAACCATTTTCGTATTAAACTGTCTGATGCTCTTGGCAAACATAAATAGGTTTCCCAATATCAATATGAAAATCCAACTCAATGTGGGAAACTGCTACGAGCGCCAGAAACTTAATTTAAGATGGTGTATGCCGCTTTAATGTCAATGAAACTGAGACATACTTTTAAAAAGGTTGCAATGAACGAAGATCTTGAGGGTACAAATGTTTATTTTTTGTTCATCTTAAGCTTTCGGAACTGGTTATTTTTTCATCAGAATGCTTTACAATGAATTGAAGAATGACAATTTAAATCCATTACAAAATCATTGAAAAGACTACACCTACAATGATTAAAGTCTCTCACGTGACACAAAAAAAATGGCGGCAAGTATGTTGACTCTGTTCTTCCAAGCTACGCTGTCATCGGTTTGTAAAGGATTATGTTGTTAGCCCTTCTGAGAAAAAGTTAGCTACAAACATGAATAAAAATTAAATGGCCTTCCTCCCCCACAGGGCACGCAAGTCACAGCAGTGCGGAAGCGATTGCCGACTGTATGATGTGCGACCACCGACGACAACGCTTGTCCACCGGGCGCGACTGTTCGAGATATTCCAAGTTTTAAGGGTGAATGTACGGGAACATCTATGACGAGTGAAGTATGCCTAATATGTGCGTAGAATTATTGGGGTTGGAGGCGTGTAAACAAACTAACGTAAAAAATTGAGATATACCCTCCCCACCCCTGAAAACGCGAACCCTCAATTTTTAACACTTACTAAAATTTCTCCGAAAAGGAGGATCATCTGAAGCTCAAAAAATAAGTGTTAGCGATTTTTATTTTTTTTGTTTTGGCCTTTTTCTCCGCCACCACTGAACCGATTTTAAAAAACTAAAAAGCTTTTGCGTCCTTGGCATGGTAGTAACATTGTTGAAAATTACATCGAAATCTAGGTGGTAGACGGTCTCTGACTGTCGAACGCGGAGGTACCACCCGGCGGATCTCGTAGGCGGAGCCAGAATGTGTGCATATTGCATGCACACGTGTTCCCTCGCCAGAGTCCGTGTGGCGTTCCCCCTTTCCCATGTATCCCCCTATAGCCCCACGGTACCCAATGGGTGCTTAGGCCTTAGGCCTTCGTGGTAGTTGGAGTATAAAAAAAAGAAATACGAGCGGAACTTCTCAAGATATAGACGGTTTATAAGATTAGCGGACAGACAGACCGAAAGAAATAAATGACATGGTTTTTAGTGATGTACATGTCATTCAATATCTATCTAAAAACATAATATCTTATTTTCGAACATTTTCGCTATTACAATAATTCAATACTAAGAATATATGTTTTTTTGGCCTGAATAGCCTACCCCCTTCCTCCCTTTAAACATGTGAATGCAACTATAAACAACCAACCTTAGACATAAATGATATGCGCATTCAGCCCTTTTCACAAATCTGCCACGCATTTCCCGCTAATATAATTAATTTCAGAAGTTACAAGATACTCAAATTTTAATTGCGTTTCCAGACTCATAGGGAAAATCGAAAAACAATAATAACGTATCTCCTTCAACTTTACGATTTGCTCAATCACTCTAGACTACGCTATCGTCATTTTTCACAAATGTCAGTCATACGAGCATTTCGCCCTAATATCCTCCAGTCTGGAAGATAAAAGGGGGTATTTGAGAAAGTGTATCTTCAAAATTTTCTCCCAGAATCATACTGACAATCGAGAATCAAGAATAATGTATCTGTAATTAACGACTTGGCAAACCAGTTTTATTAAGCACATTCACAATTTTTTAAAATGGCGGACGAGAAGATATTTTGGGCTAACTTTCTCCAGTGCGGAAGTTTCAAGAAGCAAATTCGAAAGGTAGATTCTTAATATTCCCTCCGATGATCACAAGAAAATCGAGAAACAAGATTAACGCAGGATTTTATTTTATCAGTTTAGTATACCCATTCACCACTTTTCACAAATGTAGACCACAGTCCGCTAACTACGCATCGTTCCAGAAAATATAAGAAATTCCTTTCAAATGCAGATTTTTGATATTACCTCCCAGAATCAGGGAAAATCGAGCAACGTACAACGTATCAAAAAACCGGTGGAGCGTATCCACAAACACTTGTGCTAAAAATGGTGGAAGAGCATGCATATGCATTTTCACGTTTTGTAATAAATATAATAAAAGCATTCAATAATTCTTGGAATGTGTACTATAATACTTTGATAATGTTGACAAACATATACACAGGTCCACAAAATAGAAAAGGTGATGTTTGCCAGCGTTGGGAGTTGATAGACAAATTATAGAGACGACTGATAAAGACGATAAAGGTCATAATCTAGTGTTATTTATATGATAATAACCTTACATACTTCAACGTTTCTACTTGGCTTCTATTTGTAACATTCATCTCTCTTTCACGATTGCTTCACTATTAAACATAAATGATGCATGAATGTGCTTTAGGCATCAGAGCTGTATCTCTACCAAAAATACATAAATATGATAATCTTGATGTCAAAGTTTCTTTCATGTTTGTTCTTTGACCCTCAAATCTGACTACAGATTTATCTTCAGCGGGAAAAAATACATGGGAAGGATATACCTACTGGGAAAACAGCACACCCCAATTTTTGTGGATCTGTGTATGAGTTATGAGGTATGAACATTAAATGATGAGACCGGCAACGTAGCGTTCGACCTGGCAACACTGGAGGCGCCGGGCTCGGAGAGGAGACAGGGGAGCATGTGGTCCGCCTTCAGCACAAGTTTGAATTCGCTCGAGTTATCTGCCTCAAAATAACTCATTTTGGGCAGTCGAAAACATTCAAACGGTTGTAACCGATCAGCTGAAGGCTATTCCAGCATCGGAGTTGCAGCACTACTGTGAGGAGTGGATGAACTGTCTTCGGTGCTGTTTGGTTTCAGAAGGAAGTTAGTTTGAGAGTGACAACATAAAATTGTAATTATATTTGAATGGAAAAATTAAAAAACCAGTCTTATCACTTAATTTACAGATTTCGTATTCATATTTCACACTTCATAGGTGTCCCCATCAAGTTGGAATGATAGAGAAATGTTTTCGAAACGCGTCTCCTGCTATGTGGGCTCAGCGCCCGGCATACTAATCTGCTTGTTTGTTCTGCTCGTAGTGCGGGCCTGGCTTCTGTGGGCGCTGCCGCGTCTGACGATGTGGGATAGGGCAACGTTGCCAGATGGACGGTAACTACCGGTAGGGCTGGGAAAGAATGTATTTTCTCAGAAGCTTAACTTGCTGAACTCTATCCTTTATCAACTGATGACGGCTTTGAGTAGAAAGTGCAGAGTCAACCTACTTGACGTCTTTTTTTCAGTGCTTACTATATATATACAGTCGAAATGCAAACTACAGTGTGTTAATGAAGGACCTGGCTAAACTTCACAATTCTAAGAAAAAATATATAAACCTGATGTCAAAGTTTATTTCATATTTGTCCATTGACACCCAAATCTGGAACACCCCACTTTTCAGGATAAAATTATTCACTTGCTATGAACGCAAAGTTGTGAGCTTAAAAGTAAAAGCAGTTGTTATACTTACTGTGAGGTGGAGGAGGAGATACAGATGACGATTTCTGCCTTTGAGTATTGTAAGGTGCAGGTTTATGTCTTTTTAAAGTGGGACTAGATCTGAACTGGCATGGTGACATTTGAGGTGGCGAAGCATACACTGGCTGATGAGGTAAGAACCAGGGACTATCTGGAATAGAGTTCATAACTTATAGACAAGGGCAAATTTAGGTATCTGTCTAGGGGGAGGCCATTTTAGCATCAAGATGCAGCAATTTGTACCATTACCGTATTAAAAAAAATGCAAAAATACACACGATTGAAATAAACATGTTTGGGTATGGTCGTTTGAAAAACTCAGGATACTGTGCAAAGATAGTCGAAAAATCTGTCGATCTCCATCTACCAATGGCTTGCCAAAGTTGACCTTACAGAGACAGAAAGCAAACATGTCCCTTACAATCATGTCTATTTATTCATATACCCGAACGGCTCGATAACTTTTTGGGAATACATTTTAGGGGGAAATGCTTCAGTCAAAAGTTGTAGGATTTTCTTTCAAGTATCGGTGGATGACCTTGGATTCGACCTTGAAGGTTATTTAAAGGTCACATTTAAAAATTCAAATGTAAACTCCTACTTTTAACTCCAGTAATGAAAGGAGCGCAAAATTTTACGGTCAAACATGGCTATGGATGACCTTCATATTCATCTTTAGTGATTCCTCAAGGTCAAACTACCACTAATGCTGGATATCGATAATTCTTCGGTAATCCATTCTGGGGGAAATATATACTTCAAATAAAAGTTGTATCATTTTTCCTCAGCTATCAGAAAGCGATCTGGACTTTGACCATGAAGGTCGTTTGAAGGTCAACTTCAAAACTGAATGCAACCCCCTATTTTTGACCCCGGCAATAAAACGAGCGAAACAATTACGTTTACATATGGCCTTGAATGATGATAGTCCCGGCCACGTAGTGGTTGTTTTGGGTCAAGGTCAAACTATCATTATATCGGAGGGGCTCTTAACCTTGCCTTAGTTGGCTGGGTGTATCATGACTACCTTAGTCGCCCGGGGGCTCATTCAAGGTCAGATATGAGAGCCATTCAAGATCATATCTGAACGTAAAGTTTTTCGCTTGTTTCATTGCTGGGTTCAAAAACAGGGGCTCAGATTTAAAATTTTGAGGTTGTCCTTCAAATGATCTTCAAGATCAAAATCAAGATCGAGTCCAAGGGCATCTTCTAATAGCTGAAGAAACGTCCTACAACTGTTATTTGAAGCATTTTACCCTAAATGCATTGCCGAAGAGTTATCGATATCCAGCATAAGCGCTAGTTTGACCTTGAGGAATTGCTCAAGGTCAAATTTGAGGGTCACACAAGATAATGTTTGAATATAAATTTCGTTATCGGAATAGAAAGTAGGGATTTACATTGCATGAAAGCTGACCTTCAAATAGCCATCAAGGTCAAATTCAAGGTCACCGACTGATAGTTGAGGAAAAGCGTTTCCCCCTAAATTGTATTTCCAAAGTCATCGAGCCGTTCCGGTATTTTTACCGCACCCCGTATATATAGAAAGCCATCGTTTGTCTGCTGTGTGAATATTTTGTATTCTGGCTACTAGAAGAGCCTACCGTTTTGGTGGTACGACATCCGTCATCCTTCTTTCAGGGGCCCAGATTTATCTGTTTCAATTGGGATTAGATTGCAATTTCAACAGAATCGATAAAAATCAAGATATACTCAATTTCATTAGACATAAAGGAACATACTCACATTGTGTATATTGCGATTGTTGTTGGCTATAGCTAGTTGGAAATTCCCTTTGATGGCAATACGGGTTATCCGGTCTTTCTTTGGCATCTAAAAAGGCTTTCGCGAAGGGATTGTATTTAATTTTCAAAGAGGTTACTTCTTCGTTTTGGTAGGCGGTCACTGCGATGAATTGTGTCTCTGGAAACGGGAATGTAACTACCTGAAGAAATAAAGAAAAATGGGAATGTAACTAGTGCAGGTTATTCATCAACGTAAAAGGGCAATTACAAAAAAAGCTAAAGTATCACGGCGCACTATTTGAAATAGCAAAATGATACTTTTGGTCGAGAATACGCTAATTGCTTTAAGTTTTCGACGCCAAATTTCCATGTTCCTAACATGTGGTAACAACCAAACGAAACTTGGTACAATGCAGTAGATTTTATTTTTTTCAAAATTCAAAATTCTTCATTTTCAGGGATCCAATACATAAAATATTTGACATAGGAAAAATAACAAGTAACGCATTACGTTATATTTTTTTTAAATATAATTGTTACAATAAAACGTACAGGTATTTCCAATATGAATATTTATTAAAAAACTCGTTAAAAGGGTAATGCGCCTTAGGAATTAGGAAATTGTTCAATAGTTTTTCAATCGAGTTGATATTTGAGATATTTTTTATATATTCAATTTATTGTATATTTTAACAGACACCGCATGCGGTCCCATTAGTAATGTAGGATTCAACTGAATCCCTGGATGGATATTCTTCCAGATGATTTTTAATGTTCATGGCTCACACACACACACACACATATATATATATACATATATGGATAAAACCGTGAGTATTTTATACGAAACGAAATATTGCCTACAACTGTCTCTTCTAAATCTGGCTATTTGTCTTATAATATTTTTTTGTTATACGAGGACAGAATTTATATTACAGTAATTTTCCCAGTAGATTGTCCCACTGCAAAGTCGCGGATATACCTCACAGTAATACCATGTAAGTATATTTTTATCTGAAAGGTAACTTTTCAGCTGTCTGGAAAGAAACGATGACGAATTTATTTGCTACAGGCATATTTTGTGTGGGTTTTCCATATATGTTTGGGATCCAGTTCCAATTCTAAGAAATCTATAAACTCTGTTTGTTCTAAAGTTTTATTTTTAATTTTTATTTGCCCAGTTAACCATAGCCAGTTTTTCCATCGTTACAGACTTGAATCTTAGTTGTTTAAAGTATAAAATTGGTTCGTACAAAACTGGAAGAATGCGTGGCCCATAGAAGGAAGGTAAATGCTAATAAGTAAAAACAAAGTAGGGGCTAGTAAGTTTACCTGTAATATCCCTTCACGGTTTGTAAGTTTGGAGTATGTAACATGGTCATTTAAACTCCTTATACAGGCTGTCCCAAAAGTATGGGCACTCCAAAATATCTCGGAAATTAAGGGTTCTTGAAAAAACTTTATTTGCAGTAGTTTTATGAAATCAAATGGCACATCTATTGATGAACTTGGATTTGACGTTGACATTCAACTTGAAGGTCATTGTAAGGGCAAGTTGTTTTTTTAAATTAGAACCCCTATTTATTGCAGAAATAGACAGCTAAAAAAATTTCCTTTATCGTTGTATAAATTATAGGGGCTAAAATTACATCTAAACTAAAGGTTATTTAAAGGTCAATTGTTATTTTATTCAATGTTGTGAAGCTAGGGTTAAAAGAATATTAGAGAACAAATTTTATTGCGAAAATTGCAAGAAATCCAAAGGCAAATCTGATGGTGACCTTCATGCTGACCTTTGCTAGGACCTTCAAGATTATTTCAAGGTCAACTTGATTTTTCTATCCGGAAACCCTCAATTTTGATCCCAGCGCTGAGAATGGACAAACATCTCATGATCAAGGGTTTAATTAACAGAGGTAAAAGCACACCTAGAGGTTATTTCAAGTTCTATTTTCGTGGATTAGACAGCGAGCGATAATATTTGCAAGTGAAAAAAGAGATCTTGGACTAATTTTTCAAGATATTCAGGTCATTTTTTTTCCTATAGCTTTTGTATTCAAAATTCTTTCTTGGCTTCCGAGATATTTAGGTGTGTCCATATATTTATATCCGGTATATGTGCAATTTGACAAATATGAATTTCGATGATTTCGGAAATGACCGTAACTACATTTAGACAGATTGCAGAATACCTAGAATTTTAAAAATTTGTCTTTATTATCTTTAAGCTTTCAAATTTCTTGATGCATACTTTACATTTTTCTGTATCTGAGCCTGTATTTTTCGGGAGGGTGCCCTTTAAGAAATCAAAATCATTTTCACAGTTTTCACTGACAAAATGTGGCACTCCCGCTCTTTAAAGTTTTTTTGGTGCAGGTACACTTTCACAAAATCTTTCCGATGATCGGCAACACTTGAGAAAAATTCCTGCGGGCGTCCTGTATGAAATTAATTCCTGTCATTCGCAAAAAGCCATCAAAAGGCCTTGTCACATTATTTTTGTGATCTGTAGAAGTATTTTAGAAAGTAAAACTTAGAATGCCCTCTAAATAGTTTGACTGTTTACATAGACTCCAGCTTTATTTTCCACATACCGAAAAATTGTTGATTGAACATGATTATCAATATTTCTTACTCACCCTCCTGGGCTCCGCACCAACTCTAACCAAATGCACTCTAGGCTCGTACTTGTGCAGCGAGTTGAGCATGATCTGGCCCCCAGCCGCGCCGCCACTGCTCGCCTTGTTGGTCAACTTCACTTTGGCGAACGAAATGGACTCCTTCATCCAGTGCGCTCCAAAGTTGGGTGACTCCGGATGGACGTACACCGGATTAGATGGAGGTACTTCCGCTTTGCCCCCTGGTACCCATTCACCGTTCACGTATTTCCATCTGCCGGAAGAAAATTGTATCTAAAGGTTTATTTCGATTTAAACAAGTTGCAGCTTAACGGAATCGCACCTGGAAGGCACATGTGTCGTAACATGTATCGTGAGTCCGCAGAGTAAGATGTCCACGACTTTGTGGAAGGAAAACTGGTATTTTTAAACTTATGATTTTTATCTGCATTTTTTAATAATTTTTTGAAAATTTTGGTGTGTTTTTATCGCTGAGCTTTACCAGCATTTTTATAATCATTTAATAATTTATACTTTGATATACTTTACTAGTTTTATTTTTGATTTCTTAAATGTTTCTCTAGGACTTCTGCAAAACGTTTACGTGTTTTTTTAGTTTATTTTTATGCATTGTTATAGTGCTGAATTGTGTAGTGTTACCAATGTTCTTAATACTAGTTTATCTCGATGTTTCTCTGATAAAACTAGATCATAACATACTTCACAAATAGCAGAGAAAACAGCAACACCTTACACGTTATACTTTCATGGTTTGCTTATTCATGTCAAGTTTGTGTACATTGTTTCCGACATATTATCATATTGTATTTTAGCAAATGAATTATTATTATTATTATTATAATAATAATAATATTTATTCAGTCAATGTACAAAGATAACAAACAATATGAGTAAATAAATATAAAATCAAAAACAGGCCCAATAGAAGGCATCGCCTGTACATGGACCAATAAATTTAAGTTGAAACTGTAGAATGCAAATGATAAAAAAGGACAAAAATTAGCCACAGTAGATTATGTATTTAGTTGATGTTCGTATTTATGAGTTTATGAATTTCAGTCCTAGATATAGAATGTAGCCACTTTTTTAAATTTCTTTTGAAACAATTTCCGAAACGTAAATCTTTTAAGTCTTTAGGTATAATTTCATAAAATTTAGGCGCTAAATAGAGATATGATCGGTGCATTATAGATTTATGCGGTTGAGGAACTACTGTGCCACGAATTTTGTACCTGGTATAATGATTATGTTTAATTTTTTGGTCGGTGTTTACAAATTTATGGTAGTGAGTGATACTGTGTAAGAAATAAAGTCTTATATCATACATTCGAACATCTGCGTATACTTTTTCACTGGGATAAAGTTTCAGTTTTTTAAATATCATTTTTAGAATACTTTTTTGAAAAACATCTAAATTATAGATATGTGAGGAACATGCAGCTCCCCATGCTAATATACCATATGTGAGATGAGGCTCAATCAGTGCATGGTATAATGTTCGAAGATATTTTTCTGTCAATATATTCCCAAGGTATTTAATTTTGTAGGATACAAATCTAACTTTCTTTAAAATATAATTGACATGGATGTCCCATCGTAAGTGAGGATCCAAGACCACTCCAAGGTATTTTATGTTGGGCACTCTATTAATTTGCATTTTTTGTTCATTAATATTGAAGGAGAAATTTGTGTAATTTGGCAGATGTCTAGCATAAGATCCAAATGGTAAAAAATGTGTTTTAGAGTAGTCAATGCTTAATTTTCTACTGTTAAACCACCGAATAATTTTGATAAAATCATTTTCAATCACATTTTTCAGATCAGACCAGTCAGTGCCTTCATATAATATTGCAGTATCAGCTGCAAAACTAGTTATTTTGCCAACACAATTAACTTGGAAAATATCATTTAAATATATATTGAATAACAGCGGACCTAAGACAGTTCCTTGTGGGACACCACACTTAATATACATTTCTTTACTAAATGATCCTGATATCTGCACAGATTGTGGGCGATTTGACAAATAACTTTCGATCAGTGAGTACGCGTTTCCTCTGAAACCAATTCTCTCCAATGCTTCTAATAATAATTTGTGATTAACTGTGTCGAAAGCTTTCTTTAAATCAACAAAAATGCAGATTGAAGGGATTCTGTTATCAATATTTTGATGTATTTGATTTACAATTTTAGTTATTGCGTCCGATGTAGCTTTCCCTTCTGTAAATCCATATTGATTTTCACTTAAAATTTTGAATTTTGTGAGGTATCGAATCATTCTAGTAGATAAAACTTTTTCAAAAACCTTTGCTACACTGGATATTATTGATATTGGTCTATAGTTGTTAACATCTGTTTTTGTTCCTGATTTATGTATCTGTATTATATTACCTTTTTTAAAATTGAGGGATATATGCCAGATTCAAAGCATTTGTTGATTAGGTAAGTGAGTGGTTCTGTTATGTCCTCGGCTATAATTTTCAAATGCTCGCTTTTAATACCATCGAACCCAGGACTTTTCCGATTTTTTAAGGACATAACAGTGGTGTATACTTCACATTGCTCGACTTTATCCAAAATAAATGAGTTCAAAGTTCTTTTTGGAGGCTGAGTATTTTGTACATTTGCTTGTATATTACTTGCTAAATTTTCGCCTATGTCAGTAAAGAATTGTACAAATTCATCGCATATCTGTTGAGTATTTTTTAATACTGTTCCCGATGTTGTATTTAACTCAGTGACACACTCTTTGACTTTTGTTTTCCCAGTAATCTCATCAATAGTTGTCCAAAGCCGCTTAGGATCATTTAAGTTATTATTCAATTTATTTAGGTAATGTTTTCGTTCGGTTTGCCTTACAAGCTCTATAAATTTATTTTTATATTGGTTTGTAGCAGTCGGTATTCTCTGTAGTTGGCGTTAGTTTCATTACATTATATAGTCTTTCTTTTTCTATTGCCGATGTTATCAATCCTTTGGTAATCCAGGCATTTCTGCTTTTCTCTTTGTAACTAATTATTACTTTATTGGTACTAATATCTATTAGTTTTTTATTTTCTCTATGAACAGTCCCGTTGCTTTGTCTATATTATTTATAGAGTATAATTGTTCCCAGGATTCTTGTTTGACATTTGATATTAGTTTTGAATTGTCGACAAAAAATTTGTAATTTTCCTGGTGTTACTAACGGTAGGGATGTTAGAATGTTTTTCATTTGAAGATATCAGGAAAATAGTGGAGAAGTGGTCAGTAATATCGCTTTCTAGGATTATTGGTATACAAGTAATTTTGTTGGATAGGTCTTTCACAAAGCAGTGATCTATACATGTGCCACTGATGGACCTTGTAGGTAGGTTTATATAGGACAGAAATCCGTTACTTGATAGGATATTCAAGTATTCATTTGTGATGGGATCATCGTCCAAAATATTTATATTGACATCTCCCAAGAAAATATGTTGCTTTAAATGAACTTTATTTTGATTTTGAAAAAAAAATTCGATATTCTTTAAAAACTCGTGGGGTTCTGAACATGGCGGACGATAAATTGCAGATACCTCAATTTTGTTATGGTTAATTTGGATCATTATGTTTAAAATTTTGATTCCATCGGTGAAAGTGAATGTATCATGATTATATTGCAGTTTATTTCTTACAAAAACTATCACCCCATCGTTTATATTATATTATACTAATACATCAAAATTTACAAAGATATTATCATATTGTATTTTAGCAAATGAATTATTATTATTATTATTACATTAATCCATCAAAATTTACAAAGAATATGACATGACGGAGTCTAACTGAACCTGACATTATGGTGTCGCACTGGATAGTGACTGAACGGCTTACACTGGGCGCGAGAACTATTTTGACTATCGGGATTACTTACAATGCATTTTCGAAAACACTATGCTAGCAACAGATTAGCAAACAGTTGATCTCTTATACTGACTCTACGTCTGTGCAACATTGAATTATTAACTGCGTCGTTATTAAGAGCATACAACATATATACAGGGTGTTGTTTAATGATATGCGAATATTCAAGGGTGTTAATCTACATGAAAAATTAATGTTAGTTTGCTTTATAAACTATGGTCCAAAAATGTTTCCTTTCAAAACCTCAGGGTGTTGAAGTTTTAGAAAAAAAATGGAAATTAGTTAATATTTTCAGAACCGATTCAGATATTTCACTGATATTCAGAACGTAGTGGAAGTTAATAAAGATGCACATTTTTCGATGCAAAAATAATTTTTAGCTTTAACAGTGGCGTGCGGACGAGTACTGACTTCGATATTTTTCAAGAAAAAAATGGTACGCCAATGGTTTTTGCCAATAATTGCGAACCGCTACACTGAAATGCGCTGGTGCACCATCGTGCATGTACCACATATTGTTTCTTATTACGAAGGGAACATCATCAAGCTGCAAAGGCAACTGTTGTTGAAGAAAATTGAGGTAAGTCTGTCAGTCAAGAAGAATGGGCCAATAAAGTGATTGCCAATAGTTCCTGCCCATACGTTAAACGAAAATTGGTGTTGGAAATGGGTTTTGGTTACGATATAGGGATTTTATTCTACCCACAAATGATTATTGTGGAAATTCTGAATGGCACTTCGAGAAAAATTAGCTTCGTCCGTGAACAGAATCATTGATTCAAATTGCGAATCTTGTCTAATTTTTGAAGATACCACTGACAAAAGGTCACACGCCTTGGAAAATCAATGGAAAGTAATGCCTGTACTCTTTAAATATGGTAAGGATATAACAAAAAATCCACTAAAATTCTCCAAACAATTTGATGGCAAATATTTAATTGTCTAGCGATCTTCCTCGTACTCGTTTCAGGATGTTCTTCGACTTCGTGCAGCACTGCTTCCTCAATTTCAGGTGTTCTCACACTTAGAGGTCTACCTTCAGATGTTCCTTTTCGGACAGAACCAGTTTCAACAAGACGACGATGAATATTAGAAAATGTTCGACTATCTGGCAAAGCACGATCGGGATATCTCTGGTGATAAATCCGTCTGGCTTGCTCACCATTACCGTCTGCAAGGCCATATACGTAATGCATTTCTGCCATTTCTGCATTTGAATAATTCACCATTATTAACAAGATTGTAAAAACTAAGTAATGAAAAAGATGTCGCAGCGAACAGATATGAATAGCAGAGACTTGTCAGATGTCAAAAGCCAGTGACATATTCCAGAGCAACTAGGTATTTATTGCTAAATTGCATTCTTCAATTATTACATTAATTTTCTCGGACAATGGAACGGTTTTTAATTTTTTTAGTCAAAAATGGCACTCTGAATGAAATTAATTCAAGAGAGATCATTTGATTTAAATTGAACGGGGAATTCAAAAATAATTTTTAACTGGCAAAAAACTATTAGCATACCATTTTTTCTTAAAAAATATCGAAGACAATACTCGTACGCACGCCACTGTTAAAGCTAAAAATTATTTTTGAATTGAAAAATATGCAGCTTTATTAACTTTCACTACGTACTAAATATCAGCAAAGTATCTGAAGCGGGTCTGAAAATATTAATTAATTTCCATTTTTTTCCTACAACTTCAACACCCCGAGTTTTTGTAAGGAAACATTTTTGGACCATAGTTTATAAAGCTAACTAACATTAATTGTTCATGTAGATTCACACCCTTAAATATTCTTATATCATTAAGGAACACCCTGTATATTTGAGGTTATGTAGCATGGCGAACTATTTTTTACAAAAAAGCTTAGATATCATCTAGTACAAACATTGCCCTTTCAGTTGAGTTTGCATAGATACCTTTTTCTTTCACTGAGATATTGCAGCTTAAAGTATTCATTTTTTTTAATTCCACATTATTTGATACTTTACACGGTATGATTATGTGAGCATCGAAGCTGTAGTCTGGATCGTGATACAGCAAACATTTATTAAGTTAATGCATTTTTATGAAATAAAACCTGCCGACCAAGAAATCCATAAATTTCTAATTAGAAATTTTTGATTAAAATCCGCCAATTTGGTTTTATAAAATTTTAGTATAGTCAGTGTTACTTGCACTGCGAAGACGAATCCTCAAATGTCAAAACCGATCAAGCCGTTTGGCCTGTAGCAAATAAAGTAGAATTTTTTTGATACATATACATTGCGTGAAAAACATAACCCCAGGCAGTCAGGTAAAAATGGGACTATTGGCACTTGATTTGCTCAATTAACGGGTTCGTTCCCGAGTTCAAAAAAAGTATCATGTATCAAGATAAAATGATTAGATAGATATTTAAAAATGAATAAAACGTTATTTCCGATTTATCAGAAAAAGAAATTATAGCGATTATTTCCCTTGTCTTAATTTCTACCAATTAAAACGCGCAATTTTGAATTAAAAATGGTTTATAGATGGAAAAATTGTATGACAGCACCTTTCAGCAGTATTTTCGAGTTTACCTGCGGCAAAACTTGACAGCTGTTATCACCAAAAATTACAGTATCTTTGATAACAAGTAATTATGGTCTCCTAGGACACCAGATTATCTGTTACTCATGAAATAGTTTTGTCGAATACCATTCGGGCATCTAATTTGAAAAAAAATCCAAAAAACACAATGTAAAATAATATTTTTTTAACAAAAAACATTCGTGCAGGTGCAAAGATCCTCCTCTTCGACTCGGATTTTTATCGCCACCAACAATCATGCTTCTTGTTAAAAAATACTTAGCAACGTGTTTTTTCGATTTTTTCGCAAAAATTAGATGCCCTTATGATATTACTTATGAATATCCGACGTTTTGCGCATTTTAGATATCATTTATACTGCAACTGACGGAAAGAGTTTTTATTCGTTTTTAATATCTAATCACTTAATCTTGTTTTATTTTTAATTTTCATTGTCTGTATATGTTGGGAACTGCTGTCTTGCTAATGAAATTCAGGGATTAGTTTAAATACATCATTTTTTATAATGTCTTTAACCAAAATTAGTATATTATACTTGGATTTTATTATTAAAATTGATTTTTAATGTGTATTTAAAGTGTTCTAAATATTTTTTTATAAAGCCCTAAAGAAGAAATATTTTTTTCGAAACGTCGGTAATTTTATAACAGGAAACTGTGTTTGTTTAGACGCCAAATCCACTTAATTACAAGAAATTTATTTAATAAATAGTCATAAGAAAAGTAATTTCCTATTACTACTACTCTGTGTATGAAATTTACAAGGTCCGATATGTAAGTAAACAAGATGACTGTAATGTGTTAGTTATATATTCTTCACTTCGTCTATACAATACATAAGAAATAGTTTGGTTGCAATAAAGTAGAATCACGTAACAGAATAGTTGCATAGTTGACAAAACTGTTTTCTTGCACTGACGCAAATGTCCTATAGCGGCTGCAAGAGGCTTACACTTTTGTTTTATAACTGTTACCTGCAGCCCTTATACAACCTCTTAAATGACTGAAGTGTCCTATTAGGTGTGCACATTCCGCTTGTATAGCTGTTCTAAGAGGGTTTTGCCAATGTTCTTACAGTATACAATGCTGTTTAAGGATTACTGTATAATTTTTCTTGCACTTCTAATGTGAGTGATAATTGTTAGTTGGGTACTATCTATCTATTTAGGTAATTTGAGTAGTAGTATACTATTTATTAATAAACGCAAAGACAACAATTTACTCACCTATGTTGGTCAATTTGAACGAACTCTAAGAGAACTGTGTACATCGCCTTCGGGTCTAAACCTGACGCCGTCACTTTCACTACAGGAAACATGCGTCTGAAAAGTGTTGATTTTTGAGAATTAAACAAGCACTCGCTCAATTAGCGGACAAACACTAAATATCAATGTCCTGCTAATTACTGAAAATTAGTGATTAATTAGTAAAAAAATGTGAATTGTCTAACTACTGGACGATTAGACAACATGGAGAATTAATATTTCAATCATTGTTCTGGAGACATGGTCAAATATAGCTGTGAAATTTGTTTGCATGGAGTTGGAAAACATTTTCCTTAATAATTATCTAATAGCCTTGTTGAGCCACAGTTACTCTGCCATGCCACATAGCAACACATGGTGATACGGTGTCAGCAATGGGGAGTAGCATACCAGGCAAATGGCATCCTTGGTTTTGCGTGGTACTTATACATTCTTATTTCAAATTTTTCGAAAACCGTTTTGTATACGTGTGACTGATTCTCACTGATACCCCATTCGGTGTGTATGTAATATTGATGTACATAACGTGAAATAATTCAGTTATTGTATGAAACATATGTTGGTCGTGTGTTCTCTGTCGTCTCTTTTCGTGATTAGTGTTAGCATGTGATTCAACACCACAGGATTTTAAATCCGAGGAAACCACTTGCCTGGCAATAACTCAATTGAGTAATAGTAATAGTAATATTTATTTGTCTCCAAAATACACAACCATTACGCAGAATTTTATAGAGGACAAATATAGAGCCCGCAGAAGGGTGGCCCTTGAGCGCGGGGTAAAGGAAAACAGAAAATACTTATATACTAACGATGACGTAACACAATAAAATCCTTTTTTTATTCTAAATAACAAATGAGTAATGTATATGGATTTGAGTGAAATTCCATATATGTAAGTGAAGTATGGATTGTAGTCATAGAATATGGTATATCAGAGGAAGTACTAACCACTAAAGGATAACCTGTGCGTGGCCACTACATCCAACTGAACCAAAACTAAACTCAAGGATTTTGAAATACAACACTACAGATAATTTAAGATGGGCCGCTAAGGCTTAATGACTTAATTAAACTAGCGGCTGATCTATCTATAACTATTTTTTCGGTCAAATCACAGACCGCTAAGGCTAAATAGATCTACACTAAGTACAATATATGAAGGCTTAAAAAGTACTGGTTAGGAAATGGAAAATTTTATCTGAGAATGACCTACAACTTACAATGTATAGCTCGTGCCTTCTATGTACATATGGATTTTAACTCTTGGGACGACGTGCAGCCAGGCTTTTATTTGTTTTTTAAATGAGTTTAAATTATTTAGTTTTTTGTAAGACACTGGGATGGTATTAAAAATTCTTGGACAGAGAAAAATCCAGGACCTTTGTATGAGTGTTTTCTCCGACTTTATGATTCAATAGAAAAATAACAATATAAAGTATATTTGTTTTTTATTCCATTCAAATCAGCGGCAAATATTAGAAAATTAATCCATATCCTTCTAGCAACTGAAAAAGCGGTTTCTCAAGTTTTGATAATACGTACATAGGCAAACTGACATAGTTCAAAAAAGAGAAATGATGGTAAATATGAAATAGTGGCGCCTGTCACTTTCTGCTTAGAAAGTTATTGCAAAGCAAATGCTTAAAAGAGAGTAGAAGAAGGTCCGGTAAGAATTATCTTCAAACCAGATACAATAGGCCAAAACTATCTTATTTAACTTTTGTTTCTGATGTGTAATTTTGTTGGATTTTAGAAACAATTTTGTGAAACCCTTTAATGAAGGCGCTTGCGGCAATAAGGTACTCAAGCCACAATGACTTTATTGCGAGAAATCTGATACCATAAGCTTTATCTACGGAAAAAGAAAGGATCATGCGGAATTGCTCATTATTCTTTTTCTATTTGTTATAAGTTTTATGTTACGTAAATCCTTAAATTCTTCACTAATATTTTAAAAGCAAAAATTTAGATAATACATTGACACAAAAAAATACGATTACTTTATTAGTTAAAAGTCATTCCCTGGGTCTGAAATTGCTAATCAAAAGTATATACAATCAAATCTGTTCATATTCTTATAAATTGAATATCACTAAAATATTGGTAATAAGTATGGATTGTATAGTCAAGCTTTCATTGCTAAAAAATAAATATATGTATATAAAAAAATCTATTTAAACTATGTCCCTTGAAATGAAATCATTCCCTCACCCATTACAAATATTCTCACTAGACTCACTTCGGAGAAGAACTGCCAACGGACCTCAAGAATATCTATTAAGATCTTGGATCTAAACATGGAGAAAAGAAAAAATATAACATGTTGAAGCTGCAATAAGTACAAAAGATACAAATTGCTATATGGATCGAAACATTTTTTCAAAAACGATACGTACAAAAAGAACTGTACTCATAAAGTTGGCTTCAAAATGCTGAAAGTTAGGGGTGATGTTGTTCATTTCATAGAGAATGATAAAAATACGAGGGTATGCCCTTTAAAGTATAAAACAAATCTCAATGCATCTATTAATAAATTAACTTATGGTTTTTGTTGAAATTCAGCATCAAATTGTCGTAAAAATCATTCCCCCATCCTATCAGTCATTCTCTCATTTCATAGTTTTTTAAAAGTCATTTTTCTACATGTTATACACAAAAATATGGATGACTATCATTTTCAATAAACCTCACTAAAGTAAAACTTTTTAAAAGTTGTACTGCAAGGATAATTTAAAAATATTTTGTCTCATGAAAATAGAATTTGAGTGTTCATTGTTAGACTTGAAACAGCATACTTTATTATATTTGATAGACTGCTTATTTATGATAAAGTATTTTTTTTGACGAATATGGAGTCAAATGAGTGAAAGTTCTGTTTTTCCAAGGTGTAGAAAGGCTGCAGAATTTCAGCAATATTAATAATAAAGGTCCAAGCACAAACATATGGAAAATGGGTCCCATCAAATCCTAATGATATATTTCCTGCCTTCCCGAACAAAGAACGTCCATGGGGCCAGAGGAATCCTATGATTAGTTTATGAGAAATAGAGAAATAGGCGGATAAAGTTTGTCTGGTTTGCAAAAATGGTGAAAGTGTCTATTCTAGTTTTCGGACCAAAAACTAGGAGAATCAGTATACTGAAAGAAATATTTCATTAGAACACCATGTAGGACGGTGTTGGGAAGTGAAATGTCGATCGTTACCACGATAAAATCAGTTTCCGGGTAAGTTGATTTTTATATATACCCTAACCGTGTCGAACTGACCGATACGACCGCTCCTTTGTCCCAAGGGTGTCGAGATTGTGGAACAATCTACAAGAGGAAGCTTTTCCCAGTTCTACTAACCTTAGGCAGTTCAAAAATCGTATTAACAAAATTGCTTTGGAATCATCACAGCAGCCGCGGTGTTCTGGCATTTAGGCTTCTGCCTGCGCGGCTGCTTCGATATATAAAAAAAATGTTTATCTTGAATGTGGAAGGGTGAGAAAAGTGCAATAATATGAATTTGGGGTATTGTATTTTACTTGAGTTTTCTTGTCTTGGTCTAATCTATTCAACATCTATGATTTCATTTATTAGCCGATGTAAGGGAGATGAATAAATTAAAACTTAAAGCAATGTTTGCACATGTGCGCCTTTTCTTTCACCTTCGAAATGAACATGACCTTGTAAGGTATGTAGTGGTATTGAAAAACTAATACAAAAAAGTGTTTGCACCATAAACTAATTTACGTTTTGTTTTCGGATTTAAGTGGCTTATAGCATTCTTGGCGTACAAATGTGTTGGATATTGTGATTGGTCAAAAACTCCACTTATAGCGACATTTATCAGCATTTTGTCAAAAAAATCATCTTCGGACATAGATATCCAAATCAAAATGCGATTTTTATTGAAATACGGCGTAGATACCTTATTGCCCCATGCCCTCTTTCAGTGTTTATTCCCTTCATGTTTCTTAACAGTTACTTTTCTAAATTTCTATAATTACCTTCCGCTCTTCGTTACAATCATCTCATTGGTGAAGCATTGGAATCTGATCCAGAGATCCCGGTCGTCCAGCGTGACAGCGAGGTCCTTTTCCGTCGGATCTCCTTTTTCCTTTCCGGTGTTTATTTCAGATTCTACCACGGAAAGGATATGCTGTTGTGCCATTGGCCTAAAGGAAATTTAATCGGATTCAGAATTTAATTAAAGCTGGTATTGTGAAGCTGTAATTAAATGTGGGATTGGACTCGGCATAAAGAAGCTTCAAATATGAACCCTTAAAATCCCGCTTAAAATGGTGTGATGAACATCTGGAACCCATAAGCGACATATTAGTCCAGGAAGTGATGGGAAAAATATTCTGATTCGTTTTTTTGCATAATCTTGTTCAAAAACGAGTCTGCATGTTGCCAGGACCAGAATTGCGCCAACAATTGTTTAAACAATTTTTAAACTAATATAAAAATGGTTTTTCCGAGCAAAAAATCTTTTTTCTAGAACTGATAGACATTGTGCTATTTAGTATTAATATTAATGATACTACATTGTTAGTAGTAATAATAATAATAAACGACTTTTATTTAAGGCGAAGTTTAGCTACAAGCTATTCCACCATAGGATTCGTGAAATAACCTATTTAATATTTTAAATCGTGCAAAACATGATATTTTCGGTCCCAAATATGAAAAAAACGAAAATTTTTATGCCACCAAAGTACTTAAATATACTTCATACATTCATTAACAAAATCTCAGAGCATTCTATTGGGTATTGTTATTGTAAACTATTGATTCTTGACGGGATTTGAAAAAAGTGCGTAGCTCAAAAAATGTTCGACTTTATACTAATGCATATGATACATTAAAAGCTCATAACTGGTCAAAATTACTAAAAGTAGTTTAGTAACGACATTGGTCAAAACCAGTTAAAAATATTGGACAATAGTGATTTTGACTAAATTATGACGGTCAAAAGTTGTTGTAACTAAGAACCAAAACTACCCACGACTGGCAATCAGAAAGACAGATCACTTAGATATACGAATTTAAAAAACAGAAATCTCAGATCTTGTTGATATCTGTCAACTGGACAGGATCTGCACCCCTAAGAGCTATGTGGTGTGGCTGTGATGTGATATAACATGTGTTCTATTGTGTGTTTGTGTTTCAAATTTTTTCACCAATCACATGTTGAAATTTCCCATTGACCGTGAATTTATAATTATTCGTGGAAGCGACATATTATAATTTCATATTACCTATATTGATGCTTCGGGTTATTAGATTTTATTTACATTTCAGTTATTTCGCCTTATTCTCAAGGTTTCTGTGATGTATACACCTGTAGATTGCTACTTTTACATGAGTTGGATAAACACTACGCAAAAATCGTCATCAGCGGTCACTGTAATTTCTAAATAAATATAATGGAAATTCAAATATCATGTGTCAGGAAGATTAACTTGGTACATCTATCAGATAGTTGTAGCAGTTTAGAAAGAACTGCTTTGGCATTCGAATTTCTAATATCTCAGAGTTCTCCAAATCTTTCATGATTTCTCTCTTGAAGTGAGATATGGAATGCATAGTCAGCTTGTCAGATTTTTTCAAACAACCGGCTTACAGTTATTATATTGAAGATACACAAGGGTCATTACTTATTAATAAAAAAAATCGTTTGTTCATTCGAGAAACGGCATAAACAAAATTTCTGGAGTAATGTATTTTAACCATAATGAACATCGTGAGTCATAGTGAATGTTTTTGCAGAATTTTTTGATATTGAGCTCATTTATTCAGGTTACTCCTATCTAGGAATTAAAACTTCTGTCCGCTATTAAGAAACTAAGAAACAAAATGACATCTGGTCAGGACAGTATACTATCATTTTTAATCAATAATACTACCTCAGCGATCGTTACTTGTCTCATCTTTTATACAGCTTATGCTTAAAAACCAATACTTTTACAAATATGTGGAAGATAGCGTGAGTATGTCCTGTGTGTAAGAGTGGTGACAAAAATAATATTACTGATTATCGGCCTGTGTCAATTGTTTCTGTGTTTGCAAAGATATTTTGCACAATCGCATTTATTCGGAAATTGAGAATTCACTGCCAAAAGATCTGTTATCACTAATTTAGTAATAGTTACGCAATACATATCAGAGGCTCTTGATGATAGTAACCAGGCAGACGTAATATATACGGATTTCGTTGAAACTTTTGATAAAATTGATCATAGCGTTTTGAATTTTCTGATGAGGCTGTGAAGCTTATATCAGTCTTAACGGATAGGAAACAATTTGTCTTGTATAATGGATTTAAGTCGGAAGCCTATGGAGCTATATCTGGAGTTTTGCAGGGATCAAACTTGGGTCCGTTACTAATAAATGGCTTATTGGGTGCTTTAACATTAGAAAAACTTGATTTTGCTGATGATTTACAAATATATCGCACAATATCTAACGTCACTGATTCCTTGGAACTTCAGAGCCAGCTTGACCTGGTTCAGAAGTGGTGTAACGATAATAGATGAACACTAAATGCAGATAACCTGTTATTTCGTTTTTTCCTCCGGAACTACTTGGAATTGCGAAACTTTCTAAGTATCATCTTATACTAAGTGACATATAAATCCGAACACCCAGTTTAATTGGTTTTATTTTAATAAAAGTTAGTAAATGTATTTATCTTACTGTAAATAACAAGTGAAAAAATTTTCAGCCTTATCAGTTGGACATTCCGGTTTTTATACTGCTTTTTTTTAATTCACTAACGCTCTAAAAATGAATATTTCAGCCGCAGTAAAGAATCAACGTTGGCGGATTTTGGTTCTTGACATCCTTTACGATCGGTTACGATGCCTAGAGTACGGAGATCTGTACGATTTCGTCAACTTAGTCAGTTTGATAGGGGTCATATAGTGGGAGTTTGGGAAGCTGGACTTTCTTTTCGGGCAATTGCAGTTAGAGTGCACAGAAGTGTAGACACTGTGGTTAGGTGTTGTCAGGCATGGCTTCGAGAAGGCCGTACGCAAAGAGCAATGGGCACTGGATACCGCCGTAGAACAACGGGCTTGTTTTCATACCGGCCACACTGGGTCCTCCCTTTAACTCGAGAACACCGACGTAATCGCCTTGAGTGGTGCAGACAACGGTCACTCTGAGATCAGGAATGGAACAGTATTGTCTTTAGTGATGAGTCTCGATTTTGTTTAGCCATGCACGATGGTCGTGCCAGGGTTAGAAGGCGACGTGGTGAAAGGAGGAATCCACAGTTTTTTGTTGAAAGACATGTTCATCACACTGTTGGAGTTATGGTTTGGGGTGGTATAGCTTATGGTTCCAGGTCACCTTTAATCTTCATCAGAGGTAACATGAACGCGCAGCGTTATATCCACGAAGTTCTAGAACCCCATCTTTTACCCTATCTTGACACCCTGGCAGATCCAATTTTCCAACAAGATAATGCCCGACCACATGTTACAAGAGTCACAATAGACTTCTTTCAACATAATTATGTCACACTGGTACCATGGCCACCAAGATCTCCCGACTTATCCCCAATTGAGCACGTGTGGGATATGATGGGTAGGAGATTGCTCAATTTGCAACGTCCTCCTCAGGCTCTAGAAGCACTTCAAGAGGAGTTGGTGGTTGCCTGGAATGAGATACCACAGGAGGACATTGACCACCTGATCATAAGCATGCCCAGGCGCGTTGGAGAATGCGTAACACATCAGGGTGCATCCACACATTATTAAAGGTCAAATTGCTTTAAAGCAGTGCAATCATTTTGAAATTTTTATCATTTACTTATTATGCTTCATTAAGTACTTATACAAAATTTTATTAAAATAAAACCATTTAAACTGGGTGTTCGGATTTATATGTCACTTAGTATAATTACATAAATACGCAAATTTGCCCCCATGTATCAAATTTTGTATATCTCACCGTTTCCGAGGCACGAATGATGAGAGTCGAATTTGAAGCACGCGGTTTCTTTCTGGGCCTTCTATGAAGTCGCTTTAATAAAATGTCAACAGCTCAGTGCGCCTGTCCTAGACGTCTGACACTTGATTTTGTAATATAACACTATTGTGTTAGTTTCTGATACATCAAGGCGACAGAGGCATACTAACTATAAGTTATAGCTATAGGAACTCAGCATTGCGCTTTTTTTGGTATTCCAAACGCTCTCCTTCTTACGTTTACAGCACAATTCTTACGATTTATACGTATTGTGACTTGTGACAAATCTAAGTCTGAGTAATATATTAGCTATACAGATTGCCCTTAAAAAGTGATTTATGTTCTGTTTGTTGCTCAATAGTAATTTGAAAAGTGTGTAAAGCTTGACTGATTACGTTCGGGGTTGGCGTTGCAGCAAAGCATTACGTAAGATGAACGAATAAATTTTAAATAGACATTCATGAGATTTGTTCAGCGGTTGCGCCTGTTGCGTCGGTCAATCCTCAAAGTCAACAAATACCACACGTCTCGCATCTCTTTCCGCGTATGTGTCTATTTATGTTGGTATATTTATTTATTTATTTATTTATCAACGAGCGACTGCCCAATTAAAGTACAGGAGAGAAGATCTAATGTAAATCTAATCCTACTTTGACTTAGATATTTAACACTTAAAACAATCATAAACACTTTAAAATCCAGATCATTTCTAAATTGAAACGAATTTAATTAAAATATACATATATGGGGAAATCAAATATCAAATATTACTGACAGGAATCTAATTGAATTTTGAATGCTTTCTGACTTCTGAAGAAATCCAACTTGTTAGAATACTGATTTGCTAACCTTGAAGATCTAGACAGGAAGGAATTGCTAGCATAATTAGTACGAAATGGTTGATTCAGTCTTGTTTGACGAGAAGGCACATGGAGATTAATATTTTTCAAAAGTTCTGGAGCAAAACTAAGAGAGTGCAAAATATTATAAAATAGTGATAGGTCCCTCTGATTCCGACTTACCTGAAGGGTTGAGATATTGAGAGAGCGTTCAATGACGGAATATTGAATTCGTTTAAATCACAGAGCACGTGAATATGTACAGCCCTGTATTCCTGTACTTGTTTCTAACGGACATAGTTTTTTCCAACGATTTCCAACAAGTTACATGCGATCAACACCGATTCGAGAACTGAGAAAGCAGCAACTATGCCGTAAATCTAAGCTTGACAACGAAAGTCTGAAGAATAACTGTAACATCTATATTGAATTTCAACCCTGCTGATATAATAGAAGT